GAGAAGAACCAACATAGAATTGACTGTGAAGGAATTTAAGGAGATAGGGAAGAACGGTGAAGAATCAACTTAGAATTTTCGCAGTCAATGCTCTGAAACATTCAAGTACAGAAAATTTGGGAAACCCGAAAACTAAACAGTTAGCAAAAGCAATTGAATCCTTCAACAGAAGGAATTAATTTCAAAGATTTAACCAAAAAAAATAGGGCTTTCAAGATTGAGTGTATAAACTACCCAAAACAAAAACAAACTAGATTGAAACAAGCCCAGCTCATAAAAGCGATAAAAATTTAAGAATTACATGAAATTGGTCGCAAACAACTATAATTCCGATGAATACGTTGAAATTCGGGTAGAAGCAATAAGAGACCCGAAAATGAATTTATAGAAATCAGACGTCGTTGTCAGCTGATTGTCGTAGCAGCCACAGCCACCGGCCGAGCTCGCCGTCGCTCTCATCGCCAGTCGCAGATCATCCACATTGGCGCAGCGAGGAGGGACTCTCGGCTTTGACGAGGTCCACTGCGATGATGAGGACGGTGTCTGTAATACCCCGATAATTTTAAAAGATTTATTAATTAGGATTAATTATTTTATTTTATTTTTCAATGATTTATTTTATTTTATTGAGTGCTAGATTAATTATCTTATTTTAATTAAGTTATATTTTGTGATTATGTATGATGATTGATTGTTTGTGTGGTTGATTATTGATTGAATTATTGGTGTGTTGATTTTATTGGTATTATATGACTTAGTTGTAAATTCTTGTTTGTTTATGTGCTTCATGTAATTAGTTATTTTAATTTCTGTATTTAATTAATTATCTTATTTATTTAAATTAATTGGATTGGGCTTAAGGAAAGTTGGACCAAAAGATGTGGTCTTGGGCCTGTATGAAACCTTATTGGGTTAATTAATGAAGGTCCGTGGTTATTTAATTATTTAAATGATCACTTTTGTATCAATTATATTTATATTTATATATATATATATATATATATAATTAATTAATAATTGTTATGGAAAGATATATATATAGATATATATTTATTGATATTTATAAGTATATATGATTTAATTAACTAATGAGTTAGTTATGGAAGGAATATATATTTATATATATATATATGTTTATAGATATAAATTATTTAAAGATTATTATTTTAATTCATAATACTAGTTGGAATAGGATTTGGAATTTAAGGTGTATAAAAATACACATAAGGCTTTAGGGTTAAAGGTTTTACACGTTAGAAAAATAAAACAGACAGAGAGAGAGGAAGAAGAAGAAGGGCTGACAAGGAGGAGGTCGGATCTGAAAAGGAGGACGTCGGAATTGGAAGAGATAATTAAAGCTTAAAGCGTCGGTTTCGTTTCGAAACCTTCAGGCGAGTTTTCTCTAACTTTCCTCTTACAACTCATAAGGATTTCACCTTGAGTATCAAGGCTTTAATTAAATTTATTTGTTTAAAAATTATGGTTAGATCGGAATAATTAAAAAGTATAAACTATTATATTTGATTTTTAGATTATTGGATTTTAATTGATATATATAGGTGTTATGCATATTTTAAAATCAATCTATAGGCGGATTTGTGACCCAAGAGAGTTAATTATGGTTTCTTTATTTTCTAAAATTGTTCTGTAATTTTCTGGAATTTTTCTGATATTTTTAGGAATTTATTAGGATTTATTTTCCTATTATTTGTTAGGAAAATAATTATATATATATATACTAGGTAACTGGCACATGTGGAGCGGCGGCACAATAAAGAATTGATCCAGTGCGGCGCGGTGTAGGATAATAGGGTGTATACGCCAATTAGGGCCATTTGATTAATTAAACTTATGTGAATTGATATGGTGCATCGCGGCGCATAAAACTTTGGTGCGCATGTGTATCTGGACCATAGAAGTGGTCTGGTCAACTATGGGATTATTTGGTGTATTGCAGACCATGAGAAGATGGTGCACTCGCTGATCTGGACCTTAGATCTATTATAGTTAATAGAAAATAATCTAGTGTGAGCGTGTTCATTTGCGCACTCATTTATGACCATTGGATGCGGCATAAAGGAAGTGATGGATTCAGTGTGGTAAGCTCACGGTAGCTGAAAGAGCTTAGCCAATACCAGCACACAAGGAGGCTTGAATCCAGCGCGTGCAAGTGCATAGTAAGCACGTGGGCGCGCGTGGGAAACTATGTTGGCCTAATTCGACACTAGAAATTAAAACGGTCATAACTTAGTCATTTTAAATCGAAATTGGGTCATTCTTGAGCTCAAATTCAAGGATTTTTCGTCTTCTTTCCAATGGTACCAATTTCATTATCAGATTCCCATCCTACTAGGAGATATTTATGTTTTAGTGAGAAAGTGTCGGAAAACTATTTAAACCAATATGGAGTATTTAAAGGAAACTATTTCTGACATACTTAGTTGCACTAATTTATGTAAATATAATAAATTAATAATTTGTTATGGAAGGAAGTGTATATATATATATATATAATTATTTATATATATATATATATATATATATATATATATATATGTATGTATGTATGTATATTGATTTTAAATAATCAAGGATTATTAAAAAAGGTGTTAAACACATATATACATTAAATAACATATGTGTAGGTATATATATATATAAATCATTTAAGATGATTAATATTATCATTCTTATTTGGCATATCTTAATAGGCTGGTTGTTAAATTAATGATATGCGTATAATATGCATCTGATGGCTATGTATGATTTAGCGTATTGTTAATTTTAAAGTTAATTCATGATTAAAGTGTGGGCATGGATGAATTGTCAAATGATTAAATATATTACCTAAATATTTGTATGAATAGAATACATATATGGAAAGCATGGATGAATTGCTAATTAAATGTATGAATAAATATACCTGTGGAGGCATGGTTGAATTGCCAATGTATAAATATACATACACGGAGGCATGGTTGAATTGCCAATGTATAAATAAATATACTTATGGAGGCATGGTTGAATTGCCAATATATAAATAAAAATATTTGTAACGGCATGGTTGATTTGCCAAAGCATAATTACGTTATTATGTGTTAGATGATTAAAATATCATCTATGGTTGTTGTATGTATGGATTGGATTAGGGTTAGATATTCTTAAATGAGAATAGTTTAGTACTTACTGGTTAGTGTATTATTTTACATTAATAAAATAATATTGGGGAAGACGTGGATGATTTGTCAAAACTTGGATTTTGGATATGTGATTTAAACAATTAAAATCATTATGGGGTTGGGATTAAATAGAGTATTTCTTTTATTATAATTTGTTGTTTAAATGATTAAACAACTGACTAGGATGGGATTAAGGTCAAATGAGTTTTTATAAAATGAAATGGTAGATTGGTCTAGGTATGAATATTATTTTAATAATTATTTAATAAGTATGGAAATTTAATAAACCTAATAATAGATATGATTAGTATAGTATATATAATTATATATAGACATGTATATCGTGCTTTATTAAAGTTAAAACTTTATTAGGTTTGGTTTTGATCAGAGATGATCTGCTTATTGGTTTTCAGAGGCTTGGTAGAGTGAACTTGCTCGTAGGGTTTAACCCACGATTTATTTTTCAGGTTATTAGAGGTTCCAGTCTCGAGGTTGAGGATCCGCAGCTGGGAGACTGTCATTCGTCTATTCATCTTGTGTACTTTTAAATAGTATTGGATTATTGGATAATGTTTTAAGGGGTCCTTGAGTTATGGGATTTCCGAATTGTAATTGTTGGAGAATCATTAAGTAATATTTATTTATTAGTTTTCTTCAGCGGTTTATTTATTCTTTATTATTCATCTTTGTATTCTGTGCTTGTTAAATACTTAAATTGTTTTGATATCCCTTGATTTTGTGCGCGGAGTTGATCAATCCGTGTTCCAAAATTAGGGGGTATCACAGTGTCCTTGCGGCGCGGCACCGGCAACCAAAGCTTCACAGCTTATGCTAGATGAGGACGGCGGCGACCAAAGCTTCACAGCCGCAGACCGCTGTTGCCTGCTCCTGATGAGGACGGTTGTGGCCTACTCCTCGCCGGCGCATGGTTTTTCTACAGAGCTTCAACGAGTCCATGGCAGAGAGCTCCGCCGACGGCCGTGGCCCGCTCCTCACCGGTATGTTCAGTCCATGCTCTCTGTGAAGCCATCGTCGTCGTCAAAGTCTTGTTGTGTTGTCCTTGCCATCTGTTCAGTCCACATCTCGCCGGGCAGTATTTCACAACCGTCGTTTCTCGCCCGCGACACACCACCACCACGACGGTCCACGACCGACCACCAACCACCAGGGGTGGAGCTGGGCGGTGGGTGGCGGGTGATGGAGCTGGGAGATGAGAGGATTGAAAGAGATAGATGAGAGAGTAAAGTTGAGACGAAGAAAGGGGAACCACCTGTGCGCCAGTTGGACCAATCCAGTATTGACACATAAGGTCGGTTTTTGTCGGGTGAACAGTAATCGGGTCATTTAGCATTTCTCATCTAGAATCTACCCGCATTATTGCAAGTTCAAATGAAATTTGGGACAAGGCCATAGGAGCTGAGAATTGAACCTAAACCTACCCAAACCAAAACCCCGCAGGCCAGACTAAACCTCCACCCTTGATCACCTAAGCCGCAAGGCCCGGGGACAAAATAAAGTAGAGAACATAGGTCTCAATTATTTGTCACTTGATTATAAATTTATATTCCTTCCGTCCCATATTAAATATATCCTTTAGGAAGTAAAACTTTTTAGTAATTGTATTGTCCCTCTAAAAAATTACAAAGCTTCCCGTTTAAATATATATATAATCAAGTTTGAAATTTTTTAAAATTTTAAGGGTATTTTATAAAAAGATGTGAAACATGTTGTTTAAACTTGGTAATTGAATAATATTTTGGGACAATCCAAAAAGGAAAGATGGATAACTATCATATGACGGATAGAGTAATTGCTAACAAGTTACACATTCGAATCTGGTATCTCAGCCTTTCCATTTAAATCTTTCACACAGAAAAATTGCAACTAGATTAGTAGTTTAAAACTTACTTATTGTACTTAAGACTAGCACAGATGAAAGGATTATAGCAGGGTTCCTTCATTTCTTTTCTCGTTGTAAAGGTTAAAAAGGAGAAAGATGCCTAACTTTGCTCACATGCCAGCATTGACTATTGTTTATCAATAACTGATTCAATTCTTCATTTGATAAGCTGTGAATTTTTTCTACAGGGATCTTTCGACAGCACTGGATTGATGGTCTCTTCCAAGTTGCCAAGATGCTGTGACATGTGCACGCTCACCATAGCAAGTGCAGATCCCAAATCAATATCTTGGAGATAACCTAATTCCTGTGACGCTTACCTTCCTCTGATACTGAACTCGACCATCTTCTCTCGGATGCTGTGATCTTTCTTCTCTGCTGTCATCTAATTTATCCCCGGATTGATGCTTAACTTCAGCAGATTTTGACCTGGAACGCCTTGTGTGTTTTGATTTAATTAGATCATCACTTCTCGAGGACGGCCTACTTCCTCTATGCCCTGGTGATTTTGAACTAGCACGAGGTGGTTTCCTCGTCCTGTGTGTTGAACTTTCTCGACGATGTTTTGGCGAGTCTGAATCACCCCGATACGACTTCCTCGTTCGAGGGCTTGTACTCCTACTCCTATTTCTCCTTGAAACAGAAGAATGGTGGTCATGTGATTTCCTCGTCCTGTGTGTTGAACTTTCTCGACGATGTTTTGGCGAGTCTGAATCACCCCGATACGACTTCCTCGTTCGAGGGCTTGTACTCCTACTCCTATTTCTCCTTGAAACAGAAGAATGGTGGTCATGTGATCTACCTAAATCCCTTCTTCTGCCTCTGCCACCGTCATCCCTAATGTCCCTATAAGAAGCAAAAGGAGTTGATGGTTTCCATAATCAAGATTTTAAAGGATTAGAATCCGCAAACTTAAGAAGTACATGAATTAAACCAATGTGAAAAACATTGCAACAAGTTTCTGGTCAAGAGTACTTGATATTAGAAGAATCTTTGATCAATAGCATTATGGATGAATATTATGTCAGCTTGGGAATGCTTGAACACTACAAAAGTATAGAGCATAGGCATTGTTATCTCTTTTTCTTGTAACTATATGCACTTGTATCTCAGGCAATCCTAAATTTAAATTCAAAGACAAATTAGTTAGTTGTATAAAAAGATATCATAACTTATTCACAAGTGTACTCAAACAGAACTCATGATTGTCCACCTGAAACTAATTTCAACCACAATTAATTTAATTCAACACCTCAAATCACCAATCATCCAAACAATGGCATGCGTGTAATAAAGTTTCTAGCTGAAAATAATGCATAACACCTATACATTTAACCATGGTAAACCCATCTGCTTGATGAAATAATTCCCAGAGTTTGTAAACCCACATTTTGTTAAGTTTGACATCATTCAAATTCATCTAACGCAAACAAAATATTTTCTTGATTCATAAAAAAACCACTCATTATAGAAAACATGACTAGGGGATCTTCTCATTATAGAACCATTAACATACCTAGATTTTCGATTTGTTTCCTCATCGCTATTTCCAAATCCATCAGCTTTCAGCTTCTTGCTTATTTCTGCAGCTCTAGCTACTGCTACTTCTTTTGCAGTCTTCATGGTAGCAGCTTGGTCAGCTGCCTGCCGTGCTGTCATTATTGCTTGGTCAGCTGCCTGCTGTGGTGTCATTGTTTCTGGCATGTCCGCGGCCTGCTTAAATCGCACCCATTGCATGTCCTTAATTTTCTCCATCAACTTGCACAAAGAAAATTGAGAATTAGAAGAGCTCAAAAGAGCTGGTTTGTGCGGAAGTGATTTTGCCATTTCAACTTCATATAACTTATCCTCAACAGCCCTTTTGTTCCATGTGAAAGCAGCATTAGCTTCTTCAGCTGTTGAGTATTCTATGTAGGCAAACTTCTTCGAATCAGTGATACTACATTCAACAACTTTCCCACATAAACTGAAATGGCCTTTCAACATATCCACTGTGAAAAGTGGATTGAAATGGCTAACTCGTAGAGTCCTCTTCAAGATCTCAGCCTCTTTGTCAGCTGATCCTGAAAAAAAGAAAATTGAGAATGTTAAGGAACTCTGCCACAAATAATCTAAGCGAAATAAGAAACACAAGGCATAAAATATATATATATATATAAAATATAAAAAAATCACAATATATAGAAGCAAAAACAAGAACACCAAAATGATAGGTAATTGAAGAGTCAACAATCTTGTCGGGTGAGGACTGGTAAGAATGCAAAACTAATCAACTGCATTAACTAATAATAAATAAGATATGTTATCTAGAAAAATAAAACAAGCAACTACTGTTGTTTTCAGTTCTCCGTAACTAATTAACAACGATGACCAAACCTTGTTTTTCAGCATAGTTATTAAACGAAACAGCCCTGGCCAGCTGAACAGTAAACCAGTGAGGACAATCCTTACCCAGCGCAGGTTGCACCATACAACTGTGTGCGCTTATATATTTTAAATAATAATAATAATAATTTAAAAAATAAAGGAATATTAAGGTGGCAGCCTGCTCGTGAAAAATTGAGCACGTCACCTCTGATTTGAGACTGGGAAGACAAAATCGACGAGTAAAAATTGGTTCAATCTTAAAACATTTTAATAATAAACCTTCTCTACACTGCTCTGGTCAGCCAATTAAGGTGATGGTTAAACTGGTGAATGGTGAACCAGCCATCAAAACAGGAATTGGCCGGTCCAATTATGATAAATGTGATTTCCAGGGACGGTACAAAATAGCTATATAAGCCAGCAAGCCTATGTCATTTAAAGTAAAAGGCTAAAAAATACCAGAAGAGACCCTGGCAGACTGAGCTTGAGCTTGTGCATCAGCATAGGCTTGAAGGGCTTCAGCAGCAACAATTGACTGAGCAGCAGCCATTACACCTGGAGACGGCAACATTTCACCTGGAGACGGCACCATGGGCACTTGACTGCTGGTCGTGGTAGCCAAAGCAGCCAACAGGAGATCGTGAGCAGGGTGATTGTACTCGCAAACTGTTTTTGAACACCGACCATTAAGATGTTCTTGGCATAGTTGTCCAAGAGATGCTCCAACTCCAGGCAAATACACTCCTCCTAGAGAACCAGGAATAATGCCTGGAATCATTTCAACCAAACCTGGCAATACCCCCCATACAGAAGAACAATTTGGCATACTGGGCTTGGTCTGCTTAACTAATAGTACATGCACAGTACACATTCAAGATCCAAAATTATTCACCAACTAAAATAATTTGAGATATTGGAAAGAAACAAAAATATACAATGAATATATCATCATGAACAGTTTAGAATAGAATTTCGTTGGCTTCAGCAGTGCACTTCAAGGAGAAAATGACAACAAAGCATTTTGTTCCTTATCAAGCAAATAAAAATGGAAAATGATAGGGAGGCCGAACTTTATCACCGAATGAATAACCGAACTTGACGTGGCTCAATCCATGTCAGATTCTTTAAAGAAGTTGTGTACATTCTCTCTAATAGTTCAACACGGTTAAGAGTCCTCTTTTAATCTGCAGTAACATTGAAAAAGAGGAAAAACAAACCCTCACACTCCGTCTATAGCAAATACCTCCACAACCTCATACATGACAGTATACTGTCTCATCAATAGCAATAAATAAACAATTACTCTCCATCATTATCACCGATCCAACATTCAACCATGAAAATGAAGAGTTACCCATCAAACGAATTCAAACCCAGCGAAGAAATCCCGATTCTTCTTCTCTTTTCTCTCAACAATTCGGACCCGCTCTCCAATTTCGCATCTCTCTCACATATATGCCCTAATCTCTAAGCCTCATTACGGTTTTGTGAAGGAAAAATGGATTTACTGGTGTTCTGTTGACTTGAGTTTCTTTGAAAAAAGAAGACAATAAAAAAGAATGAATTGGTCTATGTCATGGAAAAGGAATAAATTTGAAAGATTTTGATGGATCTATTGGTCTATATCATGGAGAAGGAATAAATTTGAAGGTTTTTTTTAGAGAGAGATGTGAAGCAAAGGAGTGGTGGCAGTGGAGGAATGGGGACGAAAGAGAACGAAGAGATGGTGGCTGTGGAAAGGTAGCGTGGAGGGGTGGGTAAGACAGCAAACGGAGACGGAGAAGAAATTCCATGCAGGGATCCGATAAATTTGAGAGAGAAAAAGTGAAAGGGTTTGAAATGTAAATAAGATGACTTACTGAAGGTAAATTGTCCTTTTCAAATCCAGCGGAAGGATTGAGCGAGTGACATGGCTTTCGCCAAATCAGATTCGGGTCTAATTCGGTGATAACAGTTCAGTTGCTGTATCATCACTCAATAAAAATTATGCATTTCACATACAATTTAAAAATTGTTCAAAGTACTCCCAAAATTGACAATATCCCATATTAAATAAACTAACAACAAAATTGCGCAGCATGCAATTATTAATTTCATTATACATACACCAAAAACCAGGTTATGTTAATCAGTACGCAAAAGAGCATAGGGATATTTGATATCTTCAGCAATATGTTGAACATCTATAGTTCTTATTATATTTGTGGTGTCCATTTCAATTAAGCGACTTCTTATCTTGACATGTTGATTATCTCAAAAGGAGATCTCATTTTGCTTGATGTTTTATGCACAATACATGTTCAATATCTCGTTTTGAATTACATCGCCCATTTGCTCAAGCTGGAGACAAGCCTTTCTGAACTATTAGACATGAGCCGGTAATGCAAAACTTAACTGCAAGAGTTCTGTACACATGCATTCAAATCAAATTTTGTCAAACTAATATGTCCAAATTATTGTCATATGTAGGGTCTAACAAGTATTCTAGTTCTGAACAGGATATTCTAATAGTGGCTTCAGACCCCTTGAAACTCCATTTAATGCTAGTGGCTGCCAAATAGTTTGTAAATATAGAGTCCAATTAAACTGTCATATCAATATTCTACGAGAAACTACCAGAGCCTAGCCACTTATTGAAATTTAGACACTGCATACACAGTATTTATGCATTTCTTTCTTTTATTTTCCTCTTCTTTTTTTCCTTATGTTTAACAAGATTTTCATGTATATTATATAGACAAAGATTTGCTAAAATAACACCTATACTGAAGAGCATCTAATTGAATGATACCATGGAAAAATTGATAACAAGTATAATTCAAATCACAAAACTTCTCAATCATATTCACAATAAATTGACATGTATATGTTTAATATAATATAATTCAGGAAAAAGGAATGTTTAATATAATATTCATATGCATTGAAATGAGTACCTGGACTGAAATGCATTGGAAAGGGGCAATCCGCGATTTGAGTCCCATTGCACCAAACCCTCAACTCATACTCCCCCATCTTTGGAGCCTCATAGAAAACCCTGTACGTCCCATCCTTCATATCATGCACAGTCGTATCCACAGTCCCAGCCTGACTGGAGCCCCCAACGCCTGGAGTGGGCGAAATCAGGACTTTTAATTCCGCGCCACCTCCTTGTACCTGCTTTTCATCAGAATCCATCGTCATAATCATAAAATCTGATGGTGTGCCTGCCGTTCCACCGACTACCCCAGCCCCATACGCCGCACATTTGACTGGGTCAACCGGCCCAATCGGCTTATTCGCCAAGCCCGCAAATTTTTTTTTACCATCACCATCCGACGAAGCCGCCTTATGGATATTCAGCGTCGCCTTTTTTGTTTTGTTCATCCCTGGTTCCATTGACAAACCCTAAAATCCCAAACCCTAGTGAAGTCAATCAATACTGAGTAATATAAACCGTTCGATTTGTGTGTGAGATATGCGTGTGTGTATACACAGAGAGAGAGAGAGAGAGAGGTACCTTGCGAAGTTCTTTTTGAGATGTTAGGGCTTACTGTGCAGGAAGGGAAAGGGTATGAGTATTTTAGATTAATCTATATTAAGGCCCTGTTTGGGGGCATGTTCCATCTCGTTCTATGCCCTTCCCTACAGTACAAATGGGCACTATTGAGCAAACTTGATTGTTTGGTGTGGGCTGTTTTGTGTCCAACAGTTGTAGAACAAATTCAATTTTTGGGCCAACTTCCGAAACAAAAAAATCATGTTCCAAAGTGTTCCCAAATTGTGCAAGGCCCACTTTTCACTGTATTATTTAGAACGGAACACTGAGAACACAATACATCAATTCGGTCCATCTTGTTCTAGGGTTCTCTCTACGACTGAGGCGATTCACAGTGTACCCTTGGGAGGTACTGAAGCTTTCTGAGATCTTGGGTTGAAATCGACACCATTGATGTAAATACGAAGCTTCTCGACAACGTCTTCTTCTCACCGGTGAGTTCCAAACATGCATCTTCTTCATTGAAACGAGTCTGCAAGTTCTGTCTAAATTTACTCACATGTATAATCAAGATCGGACTTGTCGGTGTTCCACTGTGTATGCAGATCTGAAGATAAACTTCCCCTTTGTGACCTCTGCGTTTTCCGGCAAACCAAGCTTCGCCGCTGCTCTCTGCACTCTCGGATTCACAGGCGATTCTCGGTCTATTTACCTTCATCGTCGACACCAGGTGAGTTAATTTATTGTTTGCCTGAAAAAAAAAATTATATGGCTAGGACCTTGTTGCCTGATTTGTAAAGCTCTGCTGTCTTGTATCTCTATTTATACTATACTGTGGCTTCGGCGGACCATCAAACTGCCAACCCTCTTGTATCAAGCTTCTAACTCGCTTTGATTTTGTAATTTTTTTTTTTTTTTTTTCCCTTCCTTAGCTAAATTTTAGCATGCATCTCTCCCCGGTACAAATTATAGAGGGCCGAAGCCCTCTAACCCAACAATTTAAACTTACACTACTATAACTTATCCGATGGGCATCGAAAGTGCAGAAAATCCGATGGGAGAGGTTAGAGGCGTTTGAATACTTCCCTAATAAAAAATAAATAAATAATGTAGGGGCACATGTATACATGTATGAAAGGGTAGATTAGAATCACACTTTTCATATTTTGTGTTAATTATTGGTAGATTGCTAGTTTGAAAAAATCTACACATACAGAAACACTCCTGATAAAATTATCCATGAAATGAAATGTTTTGGCCTTCATCTTACAATAATTTTAAGTGACAAGTAACAACTTCCATTTACAACTTAGTTCTCAGAGAAGCAAAAACGAGGTTCGATTCTATAAATTTGTAGAACCAAATCCCAAATGACATAAATAAAATCGTCCATAAAAAGATAAGGTACCATACAAAAAGTCCAGCTGAGTAGTAGCACATAAATATAAAGTCGAAATGGATTAAAAATTCTGTTCCTGCAGACGATAGGTTGCAATGACCAATGATATACCCTTGTAGATCGAGATGCATCAATGATCATCACACATCACCCACCACCTGTATAAACTTCATCATAACATGACTACTAACAGTCACTAGTTTTAACCCCTATTACTTTGCTCATTTGCAGTCATCACTAACCAACCACAACTATACCTTACCTCAAGTAAACCATGCTCCAATAAACTGTGAGAGTGGCCCAAGAACCGTATTGATATGCCAAGGACTTGTACCCTATTGTTGAGGAATTCGCAATTGTTTGCATATTTATGGTGTACTGTGGCTTCACTGGACCTAATGGTTGTATTTCTATACTTTGTTTTGTTCTTGCCTGATTTGTTGACGATTTTGTGGTGGAATGTTCAAAAAATTGCCACTGGACTGTTGAAGGAACAGATTATAAAAATCTTATCTGTTTTCTGTAATTTCTCTATTTATTTATTTATTTTTCAATCCATGAGATTTTTCTTTGACTGAATATGTAAACATAGGACTGTGAAATATCATGCGTTCAAACCGGTTGGACCATGTTTATATGACAACTCATGGGTTGCTTTGACTGATAACATATTTTTGTCTGGAATGCATATTATATAATTAATGATTCTATAGGCACAGATTCATACCTGTTTTGAACTTACTTGAATACTTCATAAAAAAAATTGTTGTCTTCCAGTGATATTCGTCTCTCTCTCTGTATATCTATATATCTATATAGCTACTAACAAAACAAGTGTGAAATGACTAATGAGTGTGTTCAATTGTGTCATTATTTTAATAAGAAGAATTTACTGACCGACAATAAAAGATGAGATGTTATCATGGACCAAGCTCGCAAAAATAAAAAAATATTACCATTCTTAATTAGTGGACATAACACATATGATTAATGATTGTAAAACTTTTTCACGAGGTCATAAAGAGAAAACTATAGATGACCTGGGGAAAAAGAAATGTTTGATTAAAAATAAGGAATGAACTGAAATAAGGATTATGAAAAACATGATTCGTAGATCCAACCCCTTGTATAATGTTTTTGGATTCTATCTTATACACTTTAACAATGAAAGATCAATTTTTTTTTTTTGCTTTTGGAGTAGTTGTATAACTTGAGGTTCGAGTCTCGGCCTAGACAAAAAGGCATATATCTTTGCTTTAATGTTGAGATAAATATGAAAGAAAAATGGTATATCCGATGACATCATTCCCAACTTACGTGAGTATAATATGATGTGTCTAATTATCGGACTATGTCAGTATCACAACTCAAATTGTTTTTTCATTTAATGGCGTCATGATAATTGTGTAGTTAAGACGATGTTATTGCCTAAGATTACAGTTGTTAATGACCCTTTTAACACATTTTTATTAAAATTAGATGGATATCAATGCTGACAATGTGGTGGACTCAGAAATAGAGGACCTTACAGAGAATACCGATGATGGAAAACTAGTATGGGATGATTCCCATCTTGAAGCTTTCATCATCTGTATGGAGGAAGAAGTTTATGGCGGTAATCGGAATAACACAACTTTTACTCCAAATGGTTGGAAGAATATACGGAAAGGCTTGAGTAGGCGTACAGGCAAGAACTATGAACTGAAACAACTTAAAAGCAAATTCAACCACCTGAGGGTAGACTACAGAGCCTTTATGAGTTTGTTAGGAGAAACAGGTGTGGGATATAATGCTGAGACGGGCATAGTTGTAGTTGAAAATGAAAGATGGACTAGATTGATCAAGGTTAGTTTTTTAAATAAATTATGTTGATTTTACAAAAAATTATACTTCAATTAATATTAATAGTAATTTAATAATTTGTAGGTGAATTCCCAATATGGTAAGTATCGAACGAAGCCATGCAATCATTTTGATAAGCTCACAACCGTATTTGGAGGCACACACGCTACAGGTGCACATGGAACTTGGAGAATCATATTTAAGTACGACACCACCAATCCAGGTGTGGCAACTCGCGGGTATGGCATGGAACTTGGAGAATCATATTTAAGATGGGTCAAAAATAAATTGGATAATTTTTAACTACTTAATTTGAGGGTCAAGCATATTCAACCCATATTTCATCCAACAGATAATAAACATACAACACACATCTATTCTATATTGCACTCAGCTCATTTATCTATCTAAAATTCACTCTCTCACGATTAGGACTACAAGTTGGGTTAGTCCAACTCAACCCAACCCAGCCTCAACCCAAAATCGGGTTGGTTTGGGCCAGCCCATATGTTTTGGGCTGGTTTCACGGGTTACATTTTTTTTTTTTTTTTTTCCTCCAAATATGCAAATTACATTTTTTTTTTTTTTTCCATGTTTGTAAACATCAAAAATTTTTTAAAAAAATTTATTTTTTAAAACATCAATATTTTGAGTGGGTTGGTCAGGTTTCACGGGTCAATTTTTTTTTTTTTTTTTTTTTTTAAACAAATATACAAATTACATTTTCCTTTTCCAAGTTTGTAAACATCAAAATTTTTAAGAAAATTTATATTTTTTTAAAATTAATATTTTAGGCGGGTTGGTCGGGTTTCACGGGTCAAATATATATATATATTTCAAATATGCAAATTACATTTTCCTTTTCCATGTTTGTAAATATCAAAAATTTTAAGAAATTTTTTTTTTTAAATCAATATTTTTGAGCGGGTAGGTCGGGTTTCACGGGTCTTTTTTTTTTTAATAAATATATAAATTACATTTTCCTTTTCCATGTTTTAAACATCAAAATTTTTAAAAAAATTTTATTTTTAAAACATCAATATTTTAGGCAGGTCGGTAGGGTTTCATGGGTCTTTTTTTTTTTTTTTTTTTTTTTTTTTTTTTTTTTTGTGCAAATATGCAAATTACATTTTCCTTTTTCATATTTGTAAACATTAAAGTTTTTAAGAAATTTTATTTTTAAAACATTAATATTCTAGGCAGGCCGGTCGGGTTTCACATGACAATTATTTTTTAACAAATTACATTTTTCTTTTCCATGTTTGTAAACATCAATATTTTGGATGGGTTGGTCGGGTTTCAAGGGTCAAAAAAATTACATTTTCTTTTTCCATATTTGTAATCATCAAAATTTTTAAGAAAATTTTATTTATAAAAAATCAATATTTCTTCTCTTTCCTTCACCTCTCTCTCTCTCAAATGAATCAATAAATATTGCTGAATATGAGATTGTTGTTTTTATTTGTTATTAAATAAAAGGGTTAAGTGCAAAAAAAACTCCTGATATATAGACTTTGTGCCGAACAAGTCTCTACTTTTTAAAAAAGTGCATGCAAGTCCACAAAATTCAAAAAAGGTGCATAACCGGTCTTTTTACAAAAAATAAAACTTAAAATCCCATTTTACCCTTTTGTTTTCCATTTTACTCCACAGCATTTGTGCATAAAAGACCCTCAACATTTGTGCATAAAAGCCCCCCACCCCTAAATCCCAATTCGTCTCTCTCTCTCTCTCTCTCTCCATGCATGTCTGCCCTCTCTCCCTCTCTCTCTCCATGCATGTCTGCTTCATTTCTTTTTTGTTCCTCTGTTAAATTTTTTGATTTACAACAAACACAATTTACATATTCAATTCCTTTTGTAGAAGATATATATACTTTCTCAAGTCCCTGTAAGAACAAAATAATGATAAAAGGGATGAAATTTTAGAATGGATGAGAATTACTTCAGCGCCTGATCAGTCATCATGATGATTACGATTACTCTGTTGGGGATTTTTCTCTCTCCCGTAAGCATTGAAGAGATCAATGCCAAGAGAAATATTAAGCAAATTCATTCCAGCCATCCCAAACAGAGCAAGTGGGAGCGCCACACCCTTTTCGAACTTGTGAGCATCTTTGATCAACTTGGCAGTGATAAGAACATGAGATATCAACCTTGCGAAAATAAAGGCAGCCCAGTTAAGAACCCATTCTACCTCCACGATTTTGCTCTTGGCATCACGTACACCAGCCATCCGTCTCAGTTTCCTCGCGTGCAGAAAGATAGAGTGCACCTGTAAGATAACAACCATTTTAGCTTTAGAGTTATATATAGAAATATATAAGCAAGCTTAGAAACAATATGGCTCAACAAATTATACATATTTAGCAATTTCTAACTAGTCTGACTGCTTCTCAAACCATTTTGGTTGTAAGGAGAATGAGATCCTCTGTTACGCTGATTATGAAACTTACAGAGGAGTTTAAAAATAAAAAAAAATAAACTTACAAAGACCATGTTCAAGCCTCTTTCGTAAGATGGGGCAAGGCTTTCTTCTGTTCTTTTCCGAATCGCCGCCACCCATTTGTCGTACCGCTGACGAATACCGTCAATTACGTACAAATCAGTTTGTCAGAGGACCATATATTTCATTGGACCCACCAAGGATCTGGACAGATACAGATTTCGCCGTTTGCTGTCACCGACAGACCGTTTCTTGTCGATCGCCGTCGCCGTCAGACGCCATAGATGGGCTCGTCAAACTGCTGTTCTGCTCATCTTTTCGCTGCCATTTTTCTTGTTCGGTGGTTGTCCTTCTTAGGCTGAGCCCGTCGATCTCCAACACCATCCGGTCGATTTTGGGCCAACTTGACAATTCTTCATTTGTTGCACACGGCCCTCCACATTTTTTAGATGGGCTTGTCGATCTACGGCGACAACCCATAGATTTTTCGTTGTACCCATTTGGATTGACGAGCAATTCCTTCAAATCCAGCCAATCAGAACAATTTGGAAAGAGTGATTACGAGAAATGGGTTTAACCCGAATAAATGGGTATTACCCATATTTTTATGATTTTTTTTTTTTTGGACAGGTCAGCAACAGGGAAGGCCATGTCAGCAGGAAGGATGAGGTTAAGTGTGTTTGATATAGTTGGAGCATGTTTGGTTTTAGATTTAATTATATTCAGGTTTAGGTTATCCCTATTTTATACAATTTGAGGTTTATATTATCTTTCTGCCAAACAAATCCCATTTTATACAAATTTGGACAAAAAGGTCATTTTACATGACTTGTATTATAATTATTAATTTATTCAACTGAAGTGAGGGTATTGTCATCATTTTACACCACCAGAGACCCAATGGCACCAAATTGATAGTATAGGGGGGTTTTTTACCACACAGGGACTGATATGCACTATATGGATAGTAGAGTGATTTTTTTGTACTTAACCCTAAATAAAATTTTAAAACCTTCAAGAAAAAAATAATTAATAATAATTATAATTAATAGGTCCACGGGTTGACCCTATATACTTTGACCCGCCCATTTTAACTCGTTCTAAACAGATTGAATATGGGCATTGACCCATATTTGATCCGCCCATTTTAAACCCAACCTAACCCGCCCATTTGCCACCCCTAGTCCGGACCATGTGACACATCAGTAGTAAATGTGTCAAAAATGTAACTTTATTCAATTTTTTTTGCTGAGGTGACATGTGGTGATTGGTCGAGTTTATGTAATAAATTTTCCAAAAATCGAATTCGTGGTCATTTCTCATCATATATATCAATCCTCGTAAAAAAATCACATCCTTGTGCAATAACTTATGTAATTTAAGTAACAATCACATTTTTTTTTTTAATTTAAAAATAAGGGAGTAATTTTTAAATTTTAAAGAATTATACACACAAAAATATAAACTTCTAAGAGTTGAGGGAGGCAGGCTTCCCGAGCCGCCTTAATTTGCTGTCCCGAGCCCCTATTTAGTATTCTTATTCCTGCATCCCATCTTGTTCAGTTTTATCTAATTATTTATTTTACTTTTCTAATTTTCTCACTTAAAATTTTAAAAGTTATATATTTAATAAATCAAATAAACATTTTTCCAAAATAATTTCCAACATACCAAATCAAACTATCCAAATTACATTAGTCCAATAATATAATTTACTGATTGAGTCGGGCAACATATCCAGATCAGGGCCAAATATAGCCCACCAGGGTATAACCCAGTTGGGGAAATCAGCCTTAACTGATTGAGGACATATCTTGAAGAACCAAGAATGCCTATGCTTCGGATTTTGATAAAAGAACGAATATGTCCATGCTGAGATATAATCCCAATAATTGTAACTGTGACCATAGGATATTTTCCTTGGCAAATTGGGATTTAATCCCCAGTCACTAGGTCGTATAAGCCTCTTAAAGATAGCTTTACTATAAGTAAGAGGACTATCTTTGGAATTCGGAAATTGCTTCGTGTGGTTGATCTCCACAGAGGAAGTTTCAGTAAGAATGGCTTCATAGATATATCTATGGCGACCATCCGGTGCAGCATATTGTTGAGTTTGGAAATATTTGGATTTTACTTCCCAAGGATCTGGCATCCATTGCTCATCTTGAGAATCCAGTACCAATGCTGTTTGAATATACCTTTGATTAGGTATCCATGGAGTTTCTTGTTCAAGAACCTCTTTCATAAGCTGGGACCCTATCGTTTGTAAGCAAACATTGGTATAATTGTTCTGCCTGTAAACATGAGAAATGTCCTTTTTGGTAGCATTACAGGATGAATCAATTATTCTTGGTTGGCTATAAGCCTTGGTTTCCACTTTAGAACCACTGTCAGGGTCAATTCTTTTCAGAATTAAATGTTCAGGGGGAGGATGGACAGAGTGGAAAACCTTATCTTCAGATGTGGTCCATGGTTTGAGAAAATCATCCAATATGTTGATATTAACAAAAGAATGATTGGTCATGTAGAACCAAGAAACAAAAGGTATAACCATTTTGCGTTCTTGGAGAAAGTCATAAAATTGGGTTTTGAAAAGTTGTAATTGATTTTGGTCAAAACTTTTGAAATACCAATTTCTGAATTCTTTATATTGATCCTGTTGAAATTCAGTATTAATGGCAATTCTATCAGGGATAAAATCCATTAAAACTAATATTCATGAGGGTCATTGATATCTGTGGGATCTTCAAACTGATCCTTGACAGATTCGTTTCCGATTCCCATTTCAGATGGAGTTGGGCTGAATTCAATTCCAAATTGGCGACGAGACATACCTATTGGTGCTTTCTCGTAAACTC